GCGAAAACCATGTCTGAAACAATTGTCGCAATATTCAAACAATATTCCACACAATTGTCGAAACATTTAAACAATATTTCAAACAGTTGTCGAAACATTTAAAGAATGTTTCAAACAATTAAAACAATGTTTGTAACAATTGTCGTGGGCCCCAAACAATGTACGAGGTGCCAGTTTGGGGGGGTTTAGTACCGGGCTTTTAAAAACACCTAACTGGAGGTGGCAGCGGTGGGGGCAAGCTCCACAAGGAGTATCTTTTTTCCCCCGGTGGCCGCGGAGGTGAGGCAGTGGTTTTCAATGTCTCCCGCGGGTGCACTTTGCCGGGCCTGGATGGTCAGAGCTCACGATCCGACCTGGAGCTCCAAGCCCAGGTGCCGCTGCCCAGCTATGGGGACGAAGGATTCCGTCTGAAGTCCGGATCCCGAATCCCTTGCACTGGCAAAGATGGCCTGAGCTCTGGCCGACCCTACGGCTGGCAATGCTTTCAGAAGCCAGACTTCTTCCTTACTTGCACTGCAGATCTGCATTGCCTTGGTGCCGTTGAATCTGTGCCCGAAAACTTCAGCTCCAGGAAGCATCAGCTATTTCACGGTGCACCTGCAGGCGGCTTGGCTCCACATGGCTCAGGGGCTGTGAAGAGACAGGCCGGCCTCGGTGGGGATGGCCGGTGTGCCAGCTTGGAGCCCGACAAAGTTCCTGATGGACAGCTCTTTCCACACCTGTACCACACCACAGGATCGCCTGGGGTCGGAGGCCTCGCCAGCATTCGGGGATGCAAGGTGGGTTTGTGAAGCACAAAAAAGGAGCCGGCACGCGTTGGCAGCATCGTCCGGCGCACCTGACACAACCGAGAACCAGGCACTTCAAAATCAGCTCAGGCATCCAAACCACATCGATGAGGCCGAGGACGGTGAGGAGGAGGACGAGGAAGACGACCAGGAGGCGCACGGCCTCAAGTAAGGTTCCTGTTGCCTTGATCACCTCTGCTGTCGGCCTCCGCAGACCTCTCAGACTTTCGATCATCATGATCCCGAACCAAACCCACAGGGTATTTAGGCTTCCGTTTGCGAGAAAGGCGAATCATTCCATATCCGTCCTGAGTCCATGAAAAGTCAATCGCATGCTTTTCTGATTGCGGGTGGGGGAGGTGAGCGGCTTTGGACCCTCCTGGTTCCGCATGGCAGAGGCAGCGATTGCAGGGTTGCCCAGTCTAGCTTCCCAGCAACGCCGTATATCACTCGGTTAAACAGTGCCTACATGCCATGATCTGGATCTTGATACTGCAACAAAGCTTTTCAGACGCATAATGCAAGTGCAAGCCTTCACCCAGATGGACCCGTACCTTGGTTACACTCACTAGCTGTCCCAAGCAGCGCGCTCAAGAGCCGATTCGTGCCGCCGCTCGACTCTAGACCAGAACTTCCGAAGCTCCGGCACTCTGGAGACAGGGTTTCAGACTTTTTTCGGGATCCTCCATCGATCCGTCGGGATGCTGCGAACCGAAGCCGAAACCGCCCAAGTCCAAGTGAAGGAGCCGGAGCAAAGGCGCTTGGGTGAAGACGAGGCCTGCGTCTTTCACCCAGCGCGGTGCTCATGCTTTTCTCTAGGCTAAAGCATCGTTGGCCATACTTCCAGAGCTAGTGCAATCTGTCGCACCGGGCTGCTTGATGCTGACAGGGCTGCTGGTGATTTTTTGGGGGGTGGGCACTACAGTTCTGCGAAGCTTCCATGCTCATCCGTTGCTGAAAAGAGGCTTTGTGAACTAGCCTTTCAATCGGTATCTTTGTGTCGCATCAATGTCGCACTCCTGGGGATTTCAACGTAGCCTGCAAACTCTGCAGAATCTCGGCAACGAAGTTTTCTCTTGAGCTCCTTTCAGACGTGGTACTATGCCTTGACTGGTTGATGGCTTTAACGGCTTGCAGAGGCATATGCCATCCCCAAAAACCCTACACTCTACACGAAGAGAGCTCGGAAATTGATTGTTGTGATGCTGCTGTGGAGGAAGACCCGGGGTGGGACCGGCACCGCTTCGAGGCGCAATGCCCAGCTGGCCGTTGCTTTGTAATCTTCCTTTGCGCGTTTCTGTCTGAAGATGACCAGAGCCTCAGGAGGATAACGAGGACATGGATCTCGATGACGAACCTCCAGAGGTCGGCGTGGCTGCGAGCTGTGGCTTGCGCATTCCTGTTATGTCCTGTATCCCCAAACACTGCCGCAGGCACTGGCAGCCTCGGTGTCCGCGCCGAAGTCATCGGCAGCCTCGAAATCACCAGCAAATTCCGCTCCGTCCGCTCCGTCAGCGGCCCAGACCACGAGTTCAAGGACTCCGGTGTTCACATTTTGGGTCCTGATCTGTCACTAGACTAGATGGCATTCCTTTTAAAGGCAGTCCTGTCCTGGCATTTTGTTGGTGGATCTTACTGTAGTCTTAAGAGAAGCCCTTGTTTGGTTGACGGCCATAGAGGCTAGTGTGCGCGTGTTTGCTGAAGCATCGTCAGCTACAAGATCTTGAGCTCTTGCTCGGTTGTGGATTGGCACCATTTTGATGCAGAGTTTTAGCGACAACATCATGCTGAAGAAAGCAACAGGACGTCGATTAACAACTCTAAGCAAGCTCAAGAACCACATCCAACAGAAATGCAAGTATTTCAGCGCATCGTTCGAAGGGCTAGGTTGAAGAAGGACAGGAATCCATCAAAGGTTCTACATCCCAACGTACCGAAACCCGAAGTGCACAAATCCTAAAGCCTTGCGAAAGGCGGCTGCCCTTGGCTCTGTCTTCGGCACGGCAGGCTTTGCAGGATGAGGCGTGTGAGTCCTGCAGCGGAGGTCCTACGATCCGCCGGGTTTGGAATTGTGCTGAGAGCAGTTCTTAGGCAACCGATCTTTGCGGCCATAAGTTTGTGCTTGTGCGTGCGCGCGTTCGTGTGTGTCTGTGTGGCGTATCTGGGCTTTGATGTTGTTCCTAGCTCTTTGCAAGAAAGTCGGGTACGTCTGCCCAGCTCGGGTTCCGAAACCCGACACCCGCTTCGGGGTTCGATGTCAGCTGGGCCCCGTCTGTCAAACCGTGTGTCGATCCTTTGCATTGGACCTAGCGGGTGTTCAAAGCCGACTTGAGTTGTTAGTTATAGGCTTATAACGGTGAAGCATATGGATAGGCTCGGTTGTATTTGCGAAATAAATACGATTGAAATACTTCATTGAAATAAGAAATACATACGAAACGGAAATACGTCCTGCGAATCGGAAAAGAGGAAAAACGAGCAGGATAACATAGGAAAAAACGGTTCTGCACCGCAGGTTGAGCCCTGCGTTTTTACGATTTCCGCCAAGCAATCCCTGACATGGTTCTTATGCATTTAGGGCGAAATGAGCGATTCTTACAAGTGCAGATTCAGTTCGGAAATGAATAAGGGAACACAACGAACCCATCGGAACACAAGGGAGCCAAGAACAGCTTTTACACGACAAATACCGTACACATTGGAAAACATAGACAAACACATGCAATGTGATTTTGAATTAGTGTGTTTTCTCTATTTGATTCCTATTTTTCACATGTTTGTCCTATTTTTCAAATTTTATTCTTTATTAATTTTCCTGAAGCGTAATCGTTTGGAGCACTGTGTTTGCAATTGTTTGTTTCGGACTGTATTCGTATGGAAATGCTGGTCAACATAGACCAGCATTTCCGTTGCTCGAACGTTGCAACTATAGGCTTATACGCATACAAACAGTAACCATCAGTCGCCTTTTGTACATTTCGGAGGTGGCGTTGGTGGCGCAGGACCTCGAGGCAGGGCCCGCGCACCAAGAGCTGAAGGGACGACGAGAGCTGTCAGAACCCAAGAGGATGATGGGGGTAGTTGTCAAAATTATGGTCCCTTCTGGGGTACCCTAAATAATAGGGTATTATAATAAGGACCCAAAAAGAAGGACCATAATTTTGACAACCGCCCATAGAAGATTGGACAGCTTTCTCAGAAGAGAAACTCGAGCCCCGTGCTAAGCAAACTGCTCTGCGCTCAGACCCACTGGTCACCGGCCGAGCTGAAGCGTCGCCTCATGCGCTACCTTAGTCACGGACTGGAGAAGCTGGAGAAGAAGTCGACGTGGCTCATTTCGCACTAGGACCTAGACACGCCTCGACTCAATCCTTGAAGCGAGGTCGGGAGGCGGCAGGCTTTCATGAACCGACTGCAGCTTCGGGCCTGTAGAGGTTCAGCGGCCAGGCCTTTTGGTTCCACTCTGTTCACACATGAGGCGCAATCAAGTCCTCGTACTTGCAGTTTGTGGTTGTGGTCGCCCCCCTGCCGTCATGACCATCGCCATTAATAATTAACAACACCAATGGTGAACGCCCACCCTAGGTCTCTCGAGAGCTGGAAGGAGGCCGCCCAGACGCCACTCGGCAGGACCTTGCACAGAAGACTCGGAGTCCTGTTCTAGGAGGGCTGCCAACGACTAAGAGTACAGCATGCTCGGGGCGACAGAACATAAACAGGTCTGCATCGAGGATCCCGTAAGCTCGGCATTCAGAAGCCCTACAGGACTTATGTGCTAATGTCCCCTGGCCCCTGGCCCGAAGACCCTACCACATAAAGCTTTTGCGTTGTTTTGAGCGTCGGGACTGGTGACGGACCTGATAGACTCTGATTTGGCGCGACGTTGTCGTGAGAACTCTGATTCTTGGGATTTTGCATGTATTTTAACAAACACGGTTGAGAGTGCGTGCGTGTGGCTGGGCACAGACACTGTGTTCGACAGTCGATGTAGCTAAGCTTTTAACTTTAAGTTATGCAAGGTCTTTTGTCTAGGTTCTTACCATGTAGCAGCCATGCGAATCGTTCACGCCGTTGTGCGCAGTCCCCCTACACTCTTAAAGCCGAACACTGAGGCAGTTCCTCAGTGTTCCAAGCATTTTGCCACCATCCAACGTCATGGAACCATGGTGAAGTACTACAGTGACTACAGTACAATCATTCATCTCTTCCCAGGTTTCTGAAGGAGTCTTCAACGCAGTTCTACTGGACCTGCTCTGGAAAGCCTTGGTATCCTGAAGCCGCAGCTCGGCCCATCGCGCGCTTTGGAGAGTCCATGGGAGTTCCGCACCTCTCCGCCCTGCGTAGCAGTCTCATAAGTCTCAAAAGGTTTCGGAGTGTCAGTCAGGTACCTTCAGGGATCTGATAATGGAGTGCCATCTATTGTGATGGGCACTGATTCGACCAAGACCTACTTGTACAGCCTCAAGCCTTGCGAGCCCGGTATGCCAGCGAGTGAGAAACATGGCCTCTTCAGGAGGATAAGATCAAGCCGGTGCTCGAGATGGTCGCGTGGGAGCTGATCCAGGACAAGTTGGCCTGCATGAGCAAGAAGCCACTTCACGAAGTCCTTGATCATCCAGCGTCGCCACACGAAAGTGCCAGAGCCGAACTGAACGAAGCCTCTTTGAAGTTCAACTTTGCCACCTGCTTGAAATCTCGCCTCTGCTCAAGCCGACTTGTGAATAAAAAAACATGTCCAGCCTCTTTCGAGGACTGCCCTGGTGCTGGGCCTGGATCCAAGGAGGTGCTGCAGAACATGATCGAGGAGGAGACGGTGACCCCGCGATCCCCGACCAAACCCCCGTCGTCCTTAGTTGTTTGCTGCACAGCTGTCGGCGACGACAAGGTGCATGTGTTGGTTTCGAAAGTGTCGAAGACACGCCATACACCTGCGGAAAGGGGGCCCACCCGTTTCTCGAACACTGCGTTGCAGGAGTTTATCCGGTATGCTGAGCAGCGGAACTTCCAGGACCAGAGAGAGATTTTGGCCGTGGAAGTTGTGGAAAGACAAATTCCGTCACCAAGCTTCCGTGACACCCCAATACTTCATGACGTCAATATGCGCGAAGGCCTGCAGGAGACCACCTGCCTCCAAATTTACAATCTTGTCGGTAGTGCATACGTGCGCAATAAGCATTCTCCTCCACATGCTCACCATTATGGAATTGTGAAGATTTGAGCCAGTTGCATTGTCATTGTCAGAACAGGACACAGTGCACAATGCTGTGGCCGAATCCTTCAACGAGCTAGAGGACGATGTGCGGAAGAAGGTGTCGCTTGCTCTAACATCTTGCGAGAAGTTTATGCTACCCATCATCTACCTTTTGAGAGAAGTCAACTGAAAAAACTTGAGTCGTGCGTTCTCGACGGTGAACTTATAGCATTCCCTGCCCTTGTACACCGAATTAAGAATTGAGCAATAGAGTCTCAAAGCTCCACCCGAAATTCATTTTTGTTGCTTGTTCACAAACCTTTGTGCGGGAAGAATCCGAGGATCACCTCGCTGCAGAAGATGCATCCAGGTGATCCGGCTCAATGGCGGTCCTAACCAACTGCAAGGTGTTCAGGGTACGTGCTGAAGTAAGTTTGCTTGTGATCGTATACGTAGATCAAAGGATGCACCAAATAGTCAACCAGTGATCATCATGATTGACATACCAACGGCCATAAACATCGTCCCCGACGCCATCATACCGACAACAATATTGCTAGTATGTGCTGTACGCCTGACCAACAGAATTTCAGGGTACTAGTGGATAGCAATGGAATGTCTGCACGGCCGTCCTCGAAAATGCTAAGACTTGTATTGCTGCCAAAGCAGCCCAACACCCTGCAGTCTTAAAAGTGCAGCATACACACAACCCCTAACACACAGCCGCCGGACCCTCGTTCAAGGCGCCTGCGAGGCTGTGAAAGCAGCAACGGGCCACCGACTAAAGAAGATCGAGGCATTTGGGGTTTTGGGCTTTGCGATGCAGCGCTTTGTTAATTGTGCATGGCTTGATTGGGTTCCTGTCCCTTTCTCGGATCCTTCGTCCGGAAATTCCGTCCGTTGCCCACTGGCTACTGTGAAAGAGCCTCAGCTTGAAGCCTTCGCACAAGTAAGGGCAGGGTCTTTCATTTGCACACTGTGGCTTAAACCGTTGCTAGAGATGCCGAGAGGAGAACCCTCATTGCGAGCAAGGTTAGGCTTTGGTGTTCAGGCCTCGGACTGAGGCTCGAGGACTAAACCTGAAGCATCGAAAATTTAGCACCTAGGGCTACTAGGGCCTAGGGGAAGCTGGTCACATCTTTTCCATGGCAGGAATAGCGAAGCCAGGGCATCCGTCCTCCAACTGACCCGATCAGTGCAGGCCTTTGTCCGACAGTGGATGAAGGACAGCATGGACAGGTCCTACAATGCGGTGAAGCAGCAGCAGAAGGACATCCATACCAGTTCGGGGATCCGAATCCTTATTCTTGCAGAGCCACATCGCAGGACATCGTCTTCTCTGAGAAGAGGATGACCCTGCTGTTCAAATGCTTGATTTCTCCGGCAGCACAACTGCAAGCAGAGGGACTCGAAAGCTTTCGTGCAAGTTGCCCAATTTGCCCACCTTGACGTCTCTGGAACAGGAAGGCTCGGAGTTCTCCTGCCTGCCGAGAGATCTCCTGCACCCGGATGGAACTGGAAGGTGCGGTGGGGCGGGGCGGGGGGGGGGGGGNNAGGTGGGGTGAGGAGTGGGTTGTGTAGGAGACAGGTTCCTGCTTCGCCTTTGATCCAGAGCACCGGACTCTCAAGACTTGACAAATCCTTCAAGTCGGTGGGTCCCGCGATGTGCATGCTTGCATGCTTGCATGCTTGCATGTATGCATGCTTGCTTGCATGTTTGCATGCATGCCTCTCTGCGTAAGCTGCCACTCGTTTGTTCGTTTCATGTTTCCCTGCACGCACGTGCCGCTGGTACTCGGATCATTTGCCTGGTTGTTGCGTGTGTATGGGTTCAAGTTCGGTTCAAGAATCATTTCCACACTTTCTGACGGCCGTTCGCGGTGGAGGCCGCCGCGGAACTGGAAGTTCATCCGTGAGGCCGTTATAGAACTCGTTACGAGGCGGCTCTGGGTGGGCAATTTGGCAGTTAGAAGGGTCTCAGCTTCATCACTGTCAGGAGCGAGGCAGCGCAAAATTTGCTGCCCTGCATTTGCTCCTTACAGCATCTGGAACTGAGGGTTAATCTGAAAACCCCTTCCCTGATTGCTACAGATGTGATCTATATTCGATTGCCACTATTCAAAAAAAGCTCGAAGAACTGCCAAGAATGCACAGGGGCGGGGGCATGAGCGCAAGGACAATCTTAGAGGAACTTATAGCCCATCTAGATCTTTGTAAAAAAGGTGGGTGCCAGGGGTATTGACTGGTCATTCATTGGAACTTCAACAGCCTCGACCAGCCCCGAAAAGGCACTCCTGCAGCTGGCTCTTCGGAACGTAGGTCTTATGCAGTAGAGTTCAAGAACAGTCGCTACAAGTCGCTCTCCCAGATCATGGCTGTGCCTGCACATGAAACATCTTGCCAGCACCCTGATCTTTCAACGCAGATTTTAGACTTCGGCCAAGTAATTCCCAAGATTTCACCTGCAAGGTGGCAGCAAAACGCCAAGAAGTGACCAGACCCGCTGTTGGATCCCTTCCGAGGCAGCAATGAGCGGGGAAACTTCAACGCATATGTCGGGTCCTTTCTTCGGTGTGTACCAGATAGATTAGATAGCATTTCATCGTGGTGCCAATCCTTCCCACAAAGCAGCACGCCAGAATCTGCTAGTGGGGCTGAGAAGTCTGTGTTCTCAGCACAGGTGGATGCTTCGGGTTCAACCTCCCGCAGTCAATGAGTCGACTCCCATGTAAGTTCAAAACGCGACGCACCGCACTTACTAGAGCCCGGAAGTTGCACATCACTTTGAGAATCTGAGGATGTAGGGAGCCGAAGTCCTTTCCTCTTGGCAGGTCTACGCGCATGGCTTGGTTCTCGCATCTGTGCCTTTGCTGTGTAATAGGTTTGTTCAGTGCTCTTCGCAGGCTATACGGCTCTAGACAAAAGACTGCTGGAGCTCATACTGCAGTGAGGCACGATGCTAGAGCGTGCCTCCCCAACCGCGGCTTCCCCATGTCTCTGTGATGAAAGGACTTGAAGGGTGCCAAAGAAGCAGCTTCCAGGACGAGGATATACAGAGCCTAATTCTCAGGGCGCATGTGCGCTTTCGACTTTGTCAAGTGTGGGTCCCGGCTTCATAGTTGCAGATGGTCAGCGGTCTGTGTTCAGTGTGGTTGCATGAGCAGTAGGCTGTCGGTCTGCGAATTGAGGCATGGGTAGAGAGTTGCATCCGAACCTGAATCAGCAGAGTCGTGCAATACAAAAAGGCAAATGCGTTCAGGTGACTCGTGGCGAACTCGCGCAGTCTTAATGTCCATTCTTCTGTTCGGGTGTCGGTACACTCCTGGAATGCACCCAGCGTTGACGGTGACCGAGCATGGCTTCGGAGACAGGCAGACATCTCACAACTTTAAGGATGCGATTCTTCAAGTTCCAAGCGCGCATTTTGTTTTTTCTGGGCTGTTGTGGTCCCTGTGTTTTGCACGGTTGGGGATTGGGGTTGGGAGTACAGAAGTAGCAGTAGACAGCTATACACTTCCTTACACGTTGATTTAAGACTTTGTGCGTGCATATTGCAGAGAGCAGGACGTCGGATCTTCAGGAGAAGGTGCAGCGATGATCTAGGAGCTTCTGGCGCACTGCAACAGCAGGGAAAGCGCAGTAGACCCTGCAGATCAGCAGGCAGAGCCCTTTGATCTCGCTTCCACAAAGCTGTGGCCAGCGAAGTCTTTAGCTAGATCCAAGCACAAGGCTTGTGATCTTTCATGTTAGGAGACTCCGAAGTTTCCAACCGCGCAGTGGTAGGACTGGTAGGAGTTGCCCAGCGCCCGATCTGGGGTGAAATGCGATATGTAGGACACCGAACGCTGGTCTGCAGTTTTTGTTTCTGCTTCTGCTGCTCTCCTTTGACACTGCCTATGTTTATTCCAGAATCAACATAACACGTCCACACAACCGACGACAAACAAACAAACAACCACCGCCAACAGCTAAAAGCCACAGATGAAGAACAACCACAGCGACCAGTAATTATACAATAAACACAGCGACCAACAATATACATTCTAGTACAAGTGACTTTTCCATCCAAAGCCGTCTGTTCAAGCATTGTGTGGCGTCGACGTAAGGACAAGAAAGAACAATGTTCCCAATCCCTGCAAGTGCACCTGGAAGATGCCGTGTGATGAACGACGGATTCGGCTGTCTCGTGCATTTGTGACTGATGGGCGCAGCGACGAGTCTACGAACAGAGAACGTGAACTGTGTCACTAAACTCACTAAACGTGTTGCATGGAACCGCAGCCCACGTCTGTGGTTTGTGCGTCCGAAGTTTTGCGTCTGGCTTGTTATCACGATTCTGAGTATGCTTTTGTCGATGTTTTCTGCCTTTGCTATCGTTATCCTTTACTTGTGTTGTTGCCAGTCTTAGGGTGATTCTCCCGGCAGGTTGTGCTTATTGCACGGGTGCCCGTGCAGCCTGTGGCGGTTCAGCCAAAGCAGCAGGAGGCCGCACAGCTTGTGCTGAGGTTTTCGGCTCACGGTAATTTTGCACTTTGATTTGGATTTGGTTTTACTTGGGGTTTAGGGTTTACGGTTTAGCTCAGAATCTAAATCGTGGTGGAGGGCCGTCGCAGCATGAGAGCTCAGCGTGGCATAGCACAGACGCGCAGGGGAGCATGGCACGATGAGGAAAGGCATAGTGTCACGCAGCACATATCGATTCTAGATTGTCCTCCCGAAGGATGCCTTAGGATTTAGTTCATCGAAAGAAAGTGTTTAAAGCTACCCAGTTAAATCCCCACATCCTTGAAAATTACGGCTGCGAATGACGCAGGTTATACTTCCAAAAAACTGCTTGTATTTTCTAGGGTTGGGCAAGATGTCGTCATGGTAGAGGCCTGACATGTTTAGGGTTAAGGGTTTCTGGGTTGCTGGCTTCTGGGCTTCGGGGTTTAGGGGTCCTGGGCTTCGGGGTTGTAAGGGGTTTATATTAGGGTTTCTGGGATTGGGGTTTCTGGGCTAACGGGTTTAGGGCTTCTGGGCTTACAGGTTTAAAAGATTTTCGGGGTTCAAGGTTTCTGGGTTGCGGGCTTTGAGGGTTGGGGGTTTAGAGGTTCTGGGTTTCTAGGCTTAGGGGTTTAAGGTTTCTGGGTTGAGGGTTTTCGGGCTAAGGGGATTGGTTTAGGGGTGTAGCGGTTCTGGGTTTAGGGGTTTAGGGCTTAGGGTTTTTAAGGTTACGGGTTTCTGGGTTCAGGGTTTCTGGGCGTAGGGGTTTAGGGGTTTCTGGGTTTAGGGGTTTCTGGGGCTAAGGGTCTAGGGTTTAGGGTTTCTGGTTTGGGGAGCTCTGGTGACGGGACGTTGTAAGTGCATCTGCACCAAAGCAGGGATCGCCGAGCGGTCCGAGAGTTTGCAGAAGAAGGCTCGCGAGAGAGCGATTCAAAACTAGGCATTGCAGAACCTCATCACAGACACGCCATGATGATTTTATCTGCCGGTGCAACAAATCCAGCCAATAATGCGTTAACTGGGGGAGAGGGTTATGCCTTATTTGTAGTGATACCCACGCCCACACCCACACCGACATCTGCCCCCACACCAGCGCATGCGCAAGTGCACTCCTACATGCACAGGCTCGCATGCATGCCGGCATGCACGATAACTTAGCATTGCAGGAACAACTCGATGCGACCGGCAGCGCACAGCAGCACAACCAACGGGACATAATTTTCATTGTCATGCAACAATTGGCTTAAAGCTTGCCCTTCCGTCCACCAATCTCTATAGTGCATACTCGGTTGCTGCCTGGAAAGCGCACCCTCAAAGTGGAAATTCGAACGCAGCCTCTACGCTGCTCTCCAGCCCTCTCGAACCCCAAAAAGCGAACGCAGGGAACAGCTAACTTCTAAACCGTACCCCAACCTCTAGACTCTAGACTTTCTGACAAGATGCAAGGAAGCTGGTGGCGATCCATTCGCTTGGTGGCACGGGGCTTTGACAACTTTATCTGGCAAAAAGTCAGATTAAGTGCAGCGGCAATTCCGAGCCTGCGAGTGGCAGAGGATTTCCTCAGTTTCGCCTCGTTCCATGTTGGACTCTGTGTAAATCTGTGTGTCTCTCGTGGCTCAGGTGGCACAGCGAAGTCGGTGAGGGCGATGTCCGCTCCCAGTTTATTTCCGGGCAGCTCTGGTGATTTTTCGTTGGTTCAGGAGTCTGCCCGTTCTTAGCAGAGGTCATGGTGCTGGACCATTTTGTGGCTTCAGACAGGCAGAAGCCTGAGTCTCTGTCATTGCTCGTCTGCCAGGTCTTGCAGAGATGGCAATCCTCATGTGAAGGTTCATTACGAATGGTAGTAGTCTCAGTAGTAGAGCAGTATGGGTCGCCAGAGCCTCATGCGCACATGCAGAGTCTGGGTCTAAGAGTCTAGCATAAAGGAGTACAAATCTAGACTCTCTCTCTCTCTCTATATTACCCTCAGTGCCTAGCGCAGCTTGCGTAGCGTAGCACGCGCTTTTCACAAGTGAACTCTTTGTTGTGCGTAGCATGTTTGGGCTCGAGCCTTCCAGCTCGAGCCTCTGATGCCGGGGCCCTGGATTAGTTCGGGCCAGGACCGTGAAGGATGGGAGAGTACGGCTCTCCACGAGGGCGAT